CTGTGTGTGTCTTTTCATCTGAAGTGAGTCTCTTGTAGGTAGCATGTATAAGGATCTTGTTCTCTTATCCATTCAGCCACCCTATGTCTTTTGATTGAAGCATTTAATCCATTTACATTTAAAGTAATTGATAGATATGTAGTTATTGCCATTTTATTATTCATATTTTTATCTTTTTCTTCTTATTTCTTTAAAAAAAAGTCCCTTTAACATTTTTTGAACTACTGTTTTGGTGGTAATGAACTACTTTACCTTTTTATTGTCTGGGAAGCTTTTTGTCCATCCTTTGATTCTAAATGATAGCCTTGCTGAGTAGAGTAATCTTTGTTGCAGGTCCTTGCTTTTCATCATTTTGACTATTTTGTGCCAGGCCCTTTTAGCCTTCAGAGTTTCTGTTGAGAAATCAGCTGATAGTCTTATGGGATCTCCCTTTTAGGTAATTACATTTCTCAGCTGCTTTTGAGAGTCTCTTTGTCTTCAAACTTTTGCATTTTACTATGATATGTCTTGGTGTGGGCCTCTTTGGTTTCATCTTGTTTGGGATTCTCTGTGCTTCCTGGGATTGTATGTCTGTTTTCTCTTTTAGGTTAGGGAAGTTTTCCATTATTATTTTTTCAAACAGGTTTTTGATTCCTTGCTCTCTCTCTCCTTCTTCTGGTACCCTTATTATGTGAATGTTGGTACGCTTGATGTTGTCTCAGGGGTTCCTTAAACTCTCCTCATTTTTTTAAATTCTTTTTCTCTTTTTGGCTGTTCTGATTGGATGTTTTATGAGACCTTAGTTTCAAATTGCTGATTCAGTCATCTGCTTCATCTAATCCAGGGGTGTCAAACTCATTTTCATAGGGGGCCACATCAACCTCGCAGTTGCCTTCGAAGAGCTGAATGTAATTTCAGGATTGTATAAATGTAACTACTTTTTAACCGTTAAGTGAGAGCTCAGTGCTGCCACTGGGTAGAAACAAGGTGCCAGGCCAGAAAAAACAAGGTGGAAGGCTGGATTCACCCCAAGGGCCTTGTGTTTGCCACCTGTGATCTAATCTATTAATTCCCTATAATGTATTCTTTATTTCAGTTATTATATTTTTCATTTTTGACTTTCTTTTTATTTTTTCTACTTTGTTAAAGTTCCCCCTGAGTTCACTAAGTATCCTTATAACCAGTGTTTTGAACACTGCACCTGTTAGAAAGTTTGTCTCCATTTTGTTTAGTTCTTTTTTATGGAGTTTTGTCCTGTTCTTTCATTTGGCCATGTTTCTTTGTCTCCTCATTTTACCTGTTTTCCTGTGTTTGTTTCTATGTTTTAAGTAAAGCTGCTGCATCTCCCAGTTTTAGTAGAGTGGCTTTATGTAGTAGTTGTCCCTTAGAGCCCAGTGGCACAGTCTCTGGTCACCTGAGCTGAGTGTACCAGATCTGTGCCTTGTATGGGTTGTGCATGCGCTCCTATCTTAGTTGAACGTTATTTGCTCTTGGGACATCAATGGGAGGGATTGACCCCTGAGGGTTGGTTGTGAAGACTGGCCATGATGACTACAATGGGGGAGCTACTGTGCAAAGTCTGAACCTACATGGCAGGATTCACTTTAGTGGGGCTCTGGTGCCTGCTGAGTCTTCCCTCTTGGTGTGTCATTTGTGGAGGTGGTTGGTGGTGCTCTGGGGTGGTTTGAAGCTGTCCACCAGGTGTGTTGGTTTTGGATCCTCTTGGGAGAGGCTCTGGTACAGATCAAGGTCATCTACTGCCTGTGCCCTGCTCAGGACCATCTACTGCCTGTGCCCTACACTTACGCAGATGGTTGACTCTTGTGCCAGGACTGGAGGTACTTGGGAGAGGCTAAACCATGAACTGAGTCCAGCTGTTGCTTGGGGCTGCTTAGCAAGAGGTACTCAGAACACTGAGGCCAGGTGCTGCTTGTTTGGGGTTGTGAATCTTTGAGAGATTTTAGAAAAATCTGCAGCATTATCCAAGAAAGATTGTATGGAAGAGCTACTGCAGTCAGCTCGGGTAGGCCTGAAAGTTGGGTACAGCAGAGTCTCAGGGAATTATTAGTATGGGGTGAATGGTGTTAGCTAGGTTGATGGAGGCTCATATATGGCTGCGTGGGTAGAGTGCTCAACAAAGGAACAATGGCCTCTGTCAGGGAGAAAGCTGCTTCTCCAACCCACATCCTGTAGCTAGATAATTCAGTTCCTGCCCATGTGTCCCTGGTGCCTTTCAAAGTGCTTCCCCAGCACTGGAGCTTAGAGTAAGTGAGTCCATCAACAATAAGTCCATGTGTGTGCCCTTTAAGAAAAATGGCTGGGGCTCCAGCAGCCCTCCAGCTCACTCAGCTATAATCTTTGCTGGTTTTCACAGCCAAAAGTTAATGGGGACTTCTTTTCCAGGAACTGGAAACCTGGACTGGGGAACCTGGTGTGGGGCTGGGGCTCCTTGCTCCTCAGAGGGACTTCCGCAACCCAGATATCACTCCTGATTTTTAACCCACACACGTGGGTGTGTGAGCAATCCATTCAGTATCTGTGCCTTTCCTACCAGTCCCAACGTGACTTCCTCAGTATGTCCTTAGTTACAGAATTTCTGTTCAGCTAGACTCTTGCAGTTTCTGATGATGATTGTTCTGTAGTTTAGTTGTAATTTTGATGTGGTCATGAAAGGAGGCAGGAGCAGCAGTTATCTACTTTGCAATCTTGACTAGAAGCTCCCAAGTTTTCTTTTAATTGCTTTGATTTTTTTAGGTCTCAACTGACAGTTTCTGAGAAAGGGGGAAAGGAAGTGGATAGGGCAGTGGTCCCCAACCATTTTGGCACCAGGAACCAGTTTTGTGGAAGAAAATTTGTCCATGGTTGCTTGGGGGTTGGTTTAGGGATGATTCAAGCCCATTATATCCATGATTACTTCCTGCTGTGTGGCTCAGTTCCTAACAGGCCTGGACTGATACTGGTCCATAGCCTGGAGGTTGGGGACCCTTGGACTAGGGAAATAAAAAAGAATGAGAGCTGTGGAAGACCACATATTTTAAGAAAAATACCTGGACTGCTTTACCTATTTATATTACCCACTTGACCCTTGAAGTTGTAATTAAGATCCTGATTATACCTTTTCTGTTTTCTAAAATTACTCATCTTTTATTTCTCAACTGCTTTCTGGGGGGAGAAATAAAAAATAGTTGTTACTTTGGACAAGGTTAAGTATCCATTTTGTCCTAATAAAAGGCTAAGTAAACAATAAAGGTGAACATAATGGAGAGCCCAGAAATAAACCCAAGTCTCTATGGTCAATTAATATTCAACAAAGGGGGCAGCAGCATAAAATGGAGTAAAAAGAGCCTCTTCAACAAATAGTGTTGGGAGAACTGGACAGCCACGTGCAAAAAAAATGAAACTCGACCAACAAGTTACACCATACACAAAAATAAATTCAAGGTGGATAAAGTATTTAAATGTAAGTCATGACACCACTAAAGTTCTAGAGGAGAACATAGGCAAGAAAATCTCAGATATTTCATACAGCAACATTTTCACTTATATGTCCCCTAGAGCAAGGGACATGGAGGAAGGAATAAACAAATGGTATTTCATCAAAATAAAAAGCTTCTGCATGGCTAAAGAAAACAGCACTAAAATGAAAACAGAAGGAACCATATGGGAAAATGTATTTGCAAGTGATACCTCAAACAAGGGTTTGATCTCCAAAATATATAAAGAACTCACACAACTCCACTCTAAGAAGACAAGCAACCCAATTAAAAAAATGGGCAAAGGAGCCCTGGCTGGTGTAGCTCAGTGGATTGAGCACGAGCCTGCGAACCAAAAAAAGACCGTGGTTCGATTGCCAGTCAGGGCACATGCCTGAGTTGCAGGCCAATTCCCGGCAGGGAACCACAAAAGGCAACCATACATTGATATTTCACTCCTTGCCTTCCCCTCTAAAGATAAATAAATTTTTTTAAAAAATCTTTAAAAAAGATGGACAAAGAACTTGAACAGACACTTCTCCAAGGAGGACATACAGAGGATTCAGAGACATATGAAAAGATGCTCAGTATTGCTACCCATCAGAGAGATGCAAGTTCATCAGAGAGATGCAAGTTAAAACCACAATGAGGTACCACTTCACACCTGTCAGAATGGCCATCAAAAACAAAGCAACAAGTGTTGCAGAGGTTGTGGAGAAAAGGGATCCCTAGTGCTCTGTGGGTGAGATTGCAGGCTGGTACAAGCACTATGGAAAACAGTATGGAATTTTCTCAGAAAACTAAAAATCGACCTACCTTTTGACCCAGCAATTCCCCTGCTAAGATTATATCCTAAGAATCCTGAAACACCAATCCAAAAGAATCTATGCACCCCAATGTTCATAGCAGCACAATTTACAAAAGCTAAGTGCTGGAAGCAACTTAGGTGCCCGTCTGTAAATGAATGGATCCAAAAACTGTGGTACATTTACACAATGGAATACTATGCAGTGCAAACAAAAAGGAGCTCCTACCCTTTGCAACAGCATGCGTGGAACTGGAGAGCATTATGTTAAGTGAAATAAGCCAGGTGGTGAAAGGCAAATACCATATGATCTCACCGTTAATAAGAACCTGATCAACAAAACAAACAAACAACCAAAATATAACCAAAGGCACTGAAATAGAGAACAGGTGACAGTATCAGAGGGGAGAGGGGATTTCAGGGGAAAAGGGGAAGGGTTTGCAGGAACAAGTATAAAGGACACATGAGCAATAACAAGGGTGTGGTGGAAAAGGAGGAGGAGGAGAGGGCTGGAGTGGTGGGGAGGGATTGGGTGGAAAAGGCAGAAAACTGTACTTGAACAATAAAAAATAATAAAATCAAATAATAAAGGGTTTTTTTTATGGTCTTCTATCTGCAGATATATTCAGTTTCTCGGTTGTATTTGTTATTTTTAGCTAAAGTGTCAAAAATTAAAGATAACGCTTTGATAGTCTGGATTTCTTTCATTTTTAGAAAATATAATATCGCCAATTTTTTTTTAGATGTTCTTAATAGTCGCTCCTCTATCCGTCCTCTACAACTGGAGGGATGAATTGGACACCTGGGGATATTTCAGAGTCACCATTTTACATGGTAATAAAAAAGATGATGAACTGATTCGTGTAAAGCAGAGGAAATGTGAAATTGCTCTAACAACTTATGAAACGTTGCGCTTATGTCTGGATGAACTTAACAGGTAATGGCAATGGAAATGATTGCATTATTATTTTGCTTACATCAATTGTATTTATTTTGTAACTTTTAAAAAGCTCTATTCTTTGGCATGATTTAAGTATATTTTATTGATTATGCTATTACAGTTGTCCCTTTTTTTCCTCCCCTTTATGCCCCTCTGCTCTGTACCCCCTTTCCCACCAACATTCCTCCCTCTTAGTTTATGTCCACAGGTCATACATATAAGTTCTTTGGCTTCTCCATTTCCTATACTATTCTTAACCTTCCTTTGTCTCTTTTGGACTTACCACTTATGCTTCTTATTTCCTATACCTTTTCCCCCATTTTCCCCCCTTCCTCTCCCCACTGATAACCCTCCATGTGATCTCCATTTCTGTGATTCTATTACTGTTCTAGTTGTTTGCTTAGTTTGATTTTGTTTTTGTATTTTAGGTTCAGTTATTGATAGTTGTGAGTTTGTTGAAAGTTTTTTGTTCATAGTTTTATGTTCTTTTTCTTAGATAAGTCCCGTTAACATTTCATAGAATAAGGGCTTGGTAATGATGAACTCCTCTAACTTGACCTTTTTTGGGAAGTACTTTATCTGCCCTTCCATTCTAAATGATAGTTTTGCTGGATAGAATAATCTTGCATATAGGTCCTTGCCTTTCAAGACTTTGAATGCTTCTTTCCAGCCCCTTGTTGCCTGCAAGGTTTCTTTTGAGAAATCAGCTGATAATCTTGTGGGCACAGCTTTGTAGATAACTCTCTTCTTTCTTCTTGCTGCTTTTAAGATTCTCTCCTTATCTTTAATCTTGAGTAACTTAATTATGATGTGTCTTGGTGCGTTTCCTCTTGGTTCCAATTTCCTTGGGACTCTGAGCTTCCTGGAAGTCGATTTCCTTCACCATGTTGGGGAAGTTCTCCTTTATTATGTTTTTCAAATAAGTTTTCAATTTCTTAATCTTCCTGTTCTTCTGGCACCCCTATGATGTGGATGTTGGAACGTTTAAAACTGTCCCAGAGGTTCCTAATCCTCTCCTCATTTTTTTGAATTCTTCTTTCTTCATTTTGTGCTGGTTGAATGTTTATTTCTTCCTTCTGTTCAAAATTGTTGATTTTATTCTCAGTTTCCTTCTTTTCACTATTGGTTCACTGTATATTTTCTTTTTTTTTTTTAGGGTTTTATTTCTTATTTTACTTTATTATTTTAATTAATTTTATTTAGTTATTTTTCAAGTACAGTTTTTTGTCTATTTTTCCCATCCCAGCCCTCCCCCACCCTTTGCTCCCCACCTCCCTCCCATTTTCACCCCCCTTAGTTCTCGTCCCTGTGTCCTTCCTATTTGTTCCTCCAAATCCCTCCCCCTTTCCCCCCTTAACTTCCCTTCCTTCTCCCCTATGGTCACTGTCCCCTTGTTCTCTATTTGTGTCTTTGGTTTTTTTTTTCTGCTTGCTTGTTTGTTTTGTTGTTTAGCTTCCCGTTAAAGGTGAGATCATATGGTATTTGTCTTTCAGCACCTGGCCTATTTCACTCAGCACAATGCTTTCCAGTTCCATCCATGTTGTTGCAAAGGGTAGTAGCTCCTTCTTTCTCTCTGCTGCATAGAATTCCATTGTGTATATGTACCACAATTTTTGGATCCATTCATTTACAGACGGGCACCTAAGTTGCTTCCAGCTCTTGGCTATTGTAAATTGTGCTGCTATGAACATTGGGGTGCATAGATTCTTTTGGATTGGTGTTTCAGGGTTCTTAGGATATAATCCCAGCGGTGGAATTGCTGGGTCAAAAGGCAGACCCATTTTTAGTTTTCTGAGAAAATTCCATACTGTTTTCCATAGTGCTTGTACCAGCCTGCAATCCCACCCACAGAGCACTAGGGTTCCCTTTTCTCCACAACCTCTGCAACACTTGTTGCTTTGTTTTTGATGGCCATTCTGACAGGTGTGAAGTGGTACCTCATTGTGGTTTTAACTTGCATCTCTCTGATGAACTTGCATCTCTCTGATGGGTAGCAATACTGAGCATCTTTTCATATGTCTCTGAATCCTCTGTATGTCCTCCTTGGAGAAGTGTCTGTTCAAGTTCTTTGCCCATCTTTTTTAAAGATTTTTTAAAAAAATTTATTTATCTTTAGAGGGGAAGGCAAGGAGTGAAATATCAATGTATGGTTGCCTTTTGTGGTTCCCTGCCGGGAATTGGCCTGCAACTCAGGCATGTGCCCTGACTGGCAATCGAATCATGGTCTTTTTTTGGTTCGCAGGCTCGTGCTCAATCCACTGAGCTACACCAGCCAGGGCTCCTTTGCCCATTTTTTAATTGGGTTGCTTGTCTTCTTAGAGTGGAGTTGTGTGAGTTCTTTATATATTTTGGAGATCAAACCCTTGTTTGAGGTATCACTTGCAAATACATTTTCCCATATGGTTCCTTCTGTTTTCATTTTAGTGCTGTTTTCTTTAGCCACGCAGAAGCTTTTTATTTTGATGAAATCCCATTTGTTTATTCCTTCCTGCATGTCCCTTGCTCTAGGGGACATATAAGTGAAAATGTTGCTGTATGAAATATCTGAGATTTTCTTGCCTATGTTCTCCTCTAGAACTTTAGTGGTGTCATGACTTACATTTAAATCCTTTATCCACCTTGAATTTATTTTTGTGTATGGTGTAACTTGTTGGTCGAGTTTCATTTTTTTTGCACGTGGCTGTCCAGTTCTCCCAACACCATTTGTTGAAGAGGCTATTTTTACTCCATTTTATGCTGCTGCCCCCTTTGTTGAATATTAATTGACCATAGAGACTTGGGTTTATTTCTGGGCTCTCTGTTCTGTTCCACTGGTCTGTGTACCTGTTTTTATGCCAGTACCAGGCTGTTTTGAGTACAGTGGCCTTGTAATACAGTTTGGTATTAGGTATTGTAATCTCTCTTACTTTGCTCTTCTTTCTCAAAATTACAGCAGCTCTTTGGGGTGGTTTCAGGTCCCATATAAATTTTGAAGTGTTTGTTCTGTGTCTGTTAAATATGCCATTGGTACTTTAAATAGAGATTGCATTGATTCTCTAAATTGCTTTGGGAAGTATGGACACTTTGATGATGTTAATTCTTCCAATCCATGAACACGGTGTATGTTTCCATTTGTTTGTGTCTTCCTTGATTTCTTTCTTCGGTGTTGTGTAGTTTTCTACATCCAGGCGTTTTACCTCCTTGGTTAGGTTTATTCCTAGGTATTTTATTTTTCTTGTTGCTATATGGAATGGGATTTTTTTCTTGATTTCTGCTTCTGCTGATTTACTGTTAGTATACAAAAATGCCTTTGATTTCTGGATATTGACTTTGTATTCCACTATTTAGCCAAATTCATTTATTAGGTTGAACAGTTTTTTGGCAAAGTTTGTAGGATTTTCTATGTACAGTATCATGTCATCTGCAAACAATGACAGTTTTGTTTCCTTTTTTCCAATTTGGATGCCTTTTATTTCCTTTTCTTGTCTGGTTGCTGTAGCTAAAACTTCCAATACTATATTGAATAGAATTGGTGTAAATGGCCAACCTTGTCTTTTTCCTGATGTTAGTGGAAAAGCTTTTAGTTTTTGCCCATTGAGTATGATATTGGCTCTAGGTCTCTCATATATGGCCTTTATTATGTTGAAGAATGCTCCCTCTCTTCCAACTTTGCTGAGTGTTTTTATCATAAATGGGTGCTGTACCTTATCAAATGCTTTTTCTACATCTATTGATATGATCATGTGTCTTTTGTCTTTGCTTTGTGTATGTGATGTATTACATTTACTGATTTGTGAGTGTTAAACTTTCCTTGCATCCCTGGGATGAATCCCACTTGGTCATGATATATGATCCTTTTAATGTATTGTTGAATGCGGTTTGCCGATATTTTGTTGAGGATTTTAGCATCTATGTTCATCAGTGATATTGGCCTGAAGTTTTCTTTCTTTGTTGTGTCTTTATCTGGTTTTGGGATTAGGATGATGCTGGTTTCATATAAAGAGTTTGGAAGTCTTCCCTCCTCTTTGATTTTTTGGAATAGTCTGTGAAAGACAGTGGTTAGCTCTTCCTTAAATACTTTGTAGAATTCTCCTGTGAAATCACCTTGTCCAGGGCTTTTGTGTGTCAGGAGTTTTTTGATTACTGCTTCAATTTCATCTGCTGTTATTGGTCTGTTCAGGCTTTTTGCTTCTTCTTTATTGAGTTTTGGAAGATTAAATTTTTCTAGAAATTTGTCCATTTTGCCTAAGTTTACAAATTTCTTGACATACAATTCTTTGTAGTAATTTCTTATGATCCTTTGTATTTCTGTGGTATCAGTTGTAATCTCTTCTTTCATTTCTGATTGTGTTTATTTGGGCCCTCTCTCTTTTTGTCTTGATGAGCCTGCTTTAAAGGCTTGTCAATTTTGTTTATCTTTTCAAAGAACCAGCTCCTAGATTCATCGATCCTTAGAATTCTGCTTTTAGTCTTTGTGTCATTTAGTTCTGCTCTAATCTTGGTTATTTCCTTCCTTCTGCTATTCTGGGCTGTCTTTGTTATTGTCCCTCAAGTTCTTGTAGATGTAGGGTTAAGTTGTGTGAAATGTTTCTGTTTCTTAGGTAGGCCTGTATTGCTATAAACTTCCCTCTCAGGACTGCCTTCGCTGTATCCCATAAGTTTTGGGTTGTTGTGAGTTCATTTTCATTTGTTTCCAGAAAATTTTTTATTTCTTTCCTGATTTCATTCTTGACCCATTCATTATTTAATATTATGGTATTCAGTCTCCATGATTTTGAGTGTTTTGCATTCTTTTCCTTGGGGTTGGTTTCTAGTTTCAGTCCTTTGCTGTCAGAGAAAATGCTTGGTATGATTTCAGTATTCTTGAATTCGTTGAGACTTGTTTTGTGTCCTGTCATGTGCTCTAACTTTGAAAATGTTCCGTGTGCATTCGAAAAGAATGTGTATTTAGCTTCTTTGGAATGAAGGGCTCTATATAAATCAGTGAAGTCCATTTCATCTAGGGCATTGTTCAATGCCACAGTATCTTTGTTGCTATTTTGTTTGGAAGATCTGTCCATTTTTGACAGTGGGGTGTTAAAATCCCCTATTATAATTGTGTTTCTGTCACTATCTTTCCTGAAGTCCTCTAAGATTTTTTAATTATATTTGGGTGCTCTTTTGTTGGATGCTTATATATTTACAATGTTTATATCTTCTTGGTAGATTCTTCCCTTAAAGATTATGAAGTGACCTTCTGGGCCTCTCTTTATGGCCCTTTTTTGAAATCTGTTTTGTCTGATATGAGTATTATTACCCAGTCTTGTTTTTTCTGTCTGGTGCGCACTCTCCCCAGGGCTCTGAGGGTGTGCAGGGCCTTTCTTGCCACCTTGGGAGCACCACACAGCTGGATGGGGAGGAGGCCGTAGTGGCTGCTGCAGGAAAATTCTCCAAACAATGTCTCTTTTTTCACTTTTTCTTTTTGAGAAATTACTTTTTCTCAAGCCTGCCACTCCACACAGCGGTCTGCTCTTTTACAGTGCCCAATTCTCCAGCCAGACAGGAAACTATCTGTTTCAGGGCCCATCACTACCCAATTCTCAACTTTCCTCAGCTGGTGTCTACAGACACCATGGGTACTCATAGCCCCTTTGTGTTTCCCACTTAGTCCTTTCCCTTCTCTGCAACTTCAAGCAACCAAGTTTCTCCCCGTACTGCTCAAATGTTGGTTGGCAGGGGATGGAGCCATTGACCTGGCTCTCTCCCAAGAGCCCTGTGGCAGACCTGGTTGGTACTGGGCCTGGGGTCACAGCCATCCTGGTCCCAGCGCTGGTCCGAGGGACCTTATTGTCCTGAATCGCTCTCCTTACCCTTTGGTTTTTCAGTGTCCGCTACAGTTTTTGGTCTTCTATCTTCATGTATGCTGTGGTACTGTTGGCTGTTTGTTCTGTTCCTCCATAGATTGGGTACGTTTTTGTCCCATATGTAGGGGGAAGTGGAATCTACTCCCTCTTACCTAGCTGCCATCTTCCTTCTCTGGCATCATTCTTAATGATGCTCAAAATCTCCAACTAGCCTGGAACCTGTGTCCTTTGGATATGCCCCCATTTATCTTTGAACATCTGTGCCGCACACTTTAAATCAACATTTCTCCATGGGTTGCTGGTTCCTTGTAGTGGATTGACGTCTATGGGTGCTCATTGCTACTGTGATAACAATCAATTCTAAGACTTTTTAGCAGATAGAGGTACATAATATAGCTTTTAAAATCATGAGTTTATATTGGTATTTACATTCAGATTTAGCATGGCAAGTATTGCTTCCTATATGTTATATTTATTATTTTTATTAATTTAAATTTTCTTTTAGTAGTGTTTGAATGAGTTTTTTTAATTTCACCATAATTACATAGATTGTCTATACCTGTTTGTCTCCATATATATTTTGTTTTTGTGGATTGTCCAAACTGTGACCATTTCACTAACTAGGGGAGAATGCTCTCATTGGAGAGTAGAGAGGAAAAAAACCTCCAAAATGTTAATAGAGAAAGCTGCTTTCTAAAATTACATAGGCTGAAAAAAGGATGTTTTCTCAACCTTTCCCTTTTTTTGTTATCACGTAATAGTTTAGAATGGTCAGCTGTCATTGTGGATGAAGCTCATAGAATCAAGAATCCAAAGGCTAGAGTAACAGAAGTTATGAAAGCTTTAAAATGCAATGTTCGTATCGGCCTCACTGGCACCATTCTTCAGAACAACATGAAAGAACTGTGGTGTGTTATGGACTGGTGAGTGGTAACACTTTCTTTTTTAATTTAATACATCTTTAACTTAATGTTACCTTGTTTGCTAAGTATTAGTTTCTGGGGGAGAAAAATATAATTACTTGTCTGTTTACAGAAGTGCTTGATCCCAAACATGGTATACAAAATAGAGCCCTATGAAAACTTATCTTTACTCTTGTTGCCTGAATGAAATATCTGAATTAATTTACCAGTTTTATTATTATCTTATAGTTATTTACTGAAAATGTCATAAAGAAAGAATGTTGTGTTTACTTGCCTTCTGCTATTGCTATCATTAACCAACAGGTAACTTAGTCTATTTTTTAGAAGCAAAAAGAAGCCAATGTTTTTCATCTAGATAATTTAATAAAGCCCTAACATTTTTTTTAATGCTTTGATAAAGGGCTGTACCAGGACTTTTAGGTAGCAGGATCCACTTCAAGAAGCAGTTTTCCGATCCAGTAGAACATGGTCAGAGACACACTGCAACAAAAAGAGAACTAGCTACTGGCCGAAAGGCCATGCGAAGGCTTGCGACAAAGATGGCTGGATGGTTTCTCAGGCGTACCAAGACTCTCATCAAAAATCAGTTGCCTAAGAAGGAAGACCGGGTGAGAACTGCATTTATATATATTATTTGATTGTGTTTTATTTTTTCTGAAAAAAAATTTTTCAAGAGAAAACTTGTCTCCTGTGATATTTTTTGAATATAGTTTTTTTGCCTTTTACTTGGTGTGAAAAAAAAATTGCTTTATGCAGAATTTTAGAAAACCACGATGAAGCCCAATCATTTTCCTTACTAACTTTACTGATCTGTCCACTAACAGGTATATTATTAGTATGCATTAAATTCATTTTTCTTATTTTAGAACAAAATACTTTCTATGTAATTCTTCCTCAATGAAGAAAGAAGAACTTCTCTCCCTAATGTGTTTTTTGTTCATATTTTGTAATTCCTACATTATCTACTGTCTACAACTTAGTTTATTCTTTCGTACCTTAACTCTAGCTAAGAGATCAAAGTGGTTGAAAACTTTTTATTAAAGATTTGTTTCTTATAGAATGCTATTTGCAGTGACACAACTAGCCTAATTTTACAACTTTGTAGGAAAATTACAATTGAATTCCACTCATTGTTTAAGGAGATTTGAGGAGTTGACCTTAGGAGGATGTTTTTTAAATATAGTAGTTATCTTTTATACTTTTTATGTGGTTCTTCTAGCAATAGCCTAAAGATTCTATAAATCACTGTAAACTAAATCTAACTAGTGTTGTCCCAAATAAGGGCAATCCTATCAATACCCTCTAGTCTTAGGATATCCTGTTGATCATTACTTTAAAAGATAGATTTGCAAGAAAAATATGATACTGATCTGCAAGTTGGGAAACTGATATAATGTTTGACTTTGATTTAAAGCAAATATTATTGAATTGGAAAACTTCATGAACCTCTACTTTTTAAAATTGTTTTGTGGAATTTAATGTATATTATTTAGTTGTCTGTCTAGTAGGAACAGCAAACTATAACAATATAAAAAGAAAGTTGCACAAAAAAGTTTAGAGATTGGGCTCTGAAATCAAATACCATAGGTTTGAATCTTCACTCCTCCACTTATGAGTTTTAAGACCTTGAACAATTTGCAAAGTCTCTCAAACCTTAGCTTCCTTATCATTTATATGGGAAAGATGATAACAGTGCCTGCCTCATGTTATTGCTCTAAAATGTGTGACATGAAAGAAGTGTTCAGTAAATGTTACTATATGTTTTAGTAACCAACTGAACAATAAAATAATACTTAGGAATAAATTTAACCAGGGAAGACCTGTACACTAAAAACTATAAGACATTGATGAAAGAAAATGAAGAAATCACAGGTAAATGGAAAGGTATCTCATGTTTATGGATTAGAATTAATATTATTAAAATTATTTCAAATTATAACTATGAAGCTATAGTAATCAAAACAGCATGGTACCAGCATACAAATAGACACATAGATCAAAGGAATAAAATCGAGAGCCCGGAAATAAACACATGCATATACACTCAACTAGTATTTGACAAGGGAGCCAATAATACTCAGTGGAGAAGAGATAGTCTTTTAAATAAATGATTGGGTATTCACATGTGATAGAATGCTGTTGGACTCCTGTTTTATGTCACTCACAAAAATTTAACTCAAAATGGATTAAAGACTTAAATATAACACCTGAAACCATAAAACTAGAAGAAAACATAGGGAAAGAACTCCTTGACATTGGTCTTACAGGTGGTGTTTTTGAAAAGACACCAAAAGCACAAGTGAAAATAAACAAATGAGACTATATCAAAATAAAAACCTCTGTGCCACAAAAGAAACAGTCAACAGAATGAAGAGGCAGCCTACAGAATGGGAGAAAATATTTGCAAACCATCTATCTGATAAGAGCTTAATGTGCAAAATAAAGGATTTATACAACTCAATAACAATAATAATCTAATTAAGCACTGATCTCATCTGAATAGACATCTTTTCTCCAGAGAATACATACCAGTGGCCAACAGGTACATGGAAAGATTCTCAACATCACTAATCATCAGGGAAATGCAAACCAAAACCACAGTTCAACATTACCTCATGCCTGTTAGAATGGCAATATTAAAAAAGACAAGCATAACAAGTGTTGGTGATCATGTGAAGGAAAGTGACACCTGGTGCACTGTTTGTGGGAATGTAAACTGGTAGAGAAAATCCTTTGGGAGTTCCCCCCAAATTAAAACTAGAACTATCATATGCTCCAGTAGACCCACTTTTGAATATATATCCAAAGGAGATGAAATTACTCTTATAGAGATACATGAAGTCCCATGTTTATTGCTGTTATTCACTGTAGTAGAGACATGGAAACAACATTAAGTGTCCGTTGAAAGATGAATGGATAAAGAATTTGTGAGATATAGATATATAATGGAATATTATTCAGCTATAAAAAAGAAGGAAATCTAGAATTTGTAAAAACAGGGCTGGACCTTGAAGTCATTGTGCTAAATGAAATAAGTCAGACAGAGAAAGAAAATACTGTACAATCTCACCTATATGTAGAATATTTATTTTTAAAAGCCACACTCATAGAAACAGAGTAGAATGGTGATTGCCAGGGGCTAAGGAGCAGGGGAAATGGATAGATGTTAGTCAAAGGGTACAGCCTTTAATTATAAGATGAAGAATTTCTGGGGGTCTAATGTATAACATAGTTGCATAATATAGACTATTGTTAACAGTACTGTAGCGTATATTTCAAAGTTGCTAACCACATGTATTTTAAATGTTCTAACCACAAAAAATTAAAATGTCATTATGTGAAGTAATGTATGTGTTAACTAACCTTGTTGTGGTAGTAATTTTATAATATGTGTATGTATGAAATTATCACATTGTACATCTTAAACTTACACAGTGTTATATGTCAATTATATCTCAATAAATCTGGGAAAAGTAGTAACTCAGAATTTCCTCCATACCTTAATCATCAACCCCCATCTTCTATGTCCTCTGTTTTATTTTTATATGTACTTTTGTATTCAATACAGTCAAGATATAGCTAATATATTATCTATACCATATTTTTTGGACCATAAGATGCACCTAGGTTTTAGAGGAAAACAAGAAAAAAAATTGAAACAGAAAAAGGTGGTAAAACATTTAATAACATAAATAGCATAATATTTCACCAATGTAAATGTAAAACTACATTTGGACTATAAGATGTACCCCCATTTTCCTCCCAAATGTAGGGGGTGCATCATATAGTCCAAAATACGGTAGTTTTTTTTAATCTAGCATTGTTTTACATAGACATTCCTGTATTTGCTCAGATGTACGTGTTTGTCATTTTTGGCAGTAATATTTTATTGTAGTGATATACACATACAACTATTTATGAATAGATGGCTTTTCCCTATTATTCACATTACTCAAAGCCCTATTATGGATATATTTAGATTTTTGACCCTAGTTACATATAGCTATAGCTAGAAGAATTTTACCAATTTCCAGTACTCCTGGAAGTACAGTGTAAATTTTACCCCCTGAAACTGATGGCATTATTTTATAATCTTTTTTCTCTTTTTGAAATTGGGCACAAAATAGCAATTTGTAATTGCTTTTATGGATATTTACTTAACTCTTATCATTACTAATCTTAGAAATTTATAGAAAGATATTAAATACAAATACTTTAGCTTGTTTGCAGTAATTTGAGGCTTTTAATATTTTTCTAAGTTTTTCAAGTAATTCTGTCCTTATAATTCTTACCATTGTTCTAAAATTTTCCATTGTTTCTTATCTAGTTTCTGATTTGACCTAAATTTTAATAATTTATTTGCATGGTAGACTAATAATGTGGAACCCTGAAAACACACACAATTTTGAGAAATATACAGAGTGATGCAAAAGCAGGTTTACAATTGTTCGAATGGAAAATAATATAATTAATAAATAATAACACAAGAATAAACTCTGTGTTTTGCATACTTACAACTATAAAAATACTTTTACCCCACCCTGTAAAAGGAAATCTCATAAGTTGTTTTCTTCATATTTTGATTCCTTTTAATTAAAAAACAAACTCTTTGAGATACATTTGAAAATAAAGTTATAATTTGTATAGTTTTGGCTTAGTGTGTTGGCAAAATATATAGATTTCCAAGAAATTGTTATAATCACGTATCTAGAAGAACAATTTAGTTTATGAGCAGTTTTCACTATTGCAAGCTATGAAGTTGGATGTGCATTGTGATTATTATCGCTATAGAAAAAATACTAATAATTATCTTGTGTTTTCTCGGCAGATGGTGTATTGTTCTCTAACAGATTTTCAGAAAGCTGTCTACCAAACAGTGTTAGAGACGGAAGATGTGACTTTGATACTTCAGTCTTCTGAGCCTTGTACTTGCAGGAGTGGCCGAAAAAGGAGAAATTGTTGTTATAAGGCAAGCATTTTAGTTTGATATCTTTACTATCTTATTTTGATTATATAGTACTCTATTGTAAGTAGCAGATAAGTTTTCCACAGAGAATTCTTTACTTTAGAAGCCATAAGTTAATGAAAAGAGAGAGTTTTTTAAAAACATTTTATAATGTCAAATAGTAATCATGGCAAAATACATGATTCAAATATATTTTTAAAAATGACTTTTTTGACCCTGGCCAGCATGGCTCAGTTGCTTGGAGCATCACCCAGGAGCTGAGGGATTGAGGATTGCCTGGGGCACACACCTGAGTTGCAGGTTCGATTCACAGCCCCATCTGGGCATGTGTGAGAAGCAACCAACCAACGCTTCTCTCTCACATCAATGTTTCTCTCTCTCCCTTTCTTTCTCCCCTCCTTGCTCTCTAAAAGCAATGAAAAAAAATGTCCTTTGTTGAGAATAAAAACAAGCAAACTAGTTTTTGAAAGTAGCTTCAATTTGATATCCTCCTTTTCAGCTTTTACTGGGAAGTACTTTGAAATTTCATTTCCCTTTCAGGAAGTCTCACTATCCACTAAATAATAACCTTACTCTTTCATCACAAGTTTAAAATTTATTATGATATGAGATATAGTATTATTTTCATAAAAACTGTGTATAATTTAGAAAGCATTTTATTTTCATTCAGAATCAAATATGTTTTACTTTCTCTGTATTTTCCATTTTCACCTCTGTTTTATCAAGTTACCTGTCACATAACTTTGCACAGAGAGGGACCCTACATAAATACTTATCTAGATTGATAGTTTTTCTCACTCTCATTTATTTTGCTGTTTTTAATGACCAGTTTTTTTTGTGATAGCCCAGATTCATAGGAACCCTTGGAATATAAGTGAGAAGAGAGAGGAAAGGGGTCCGTACAACACTGCCCCCTTTTACCATATAGTTTCGTTACCAGGAACCTCTTACGCCGCATTTCTATGATTGTGTTTGGAGGGTGAATACTTCTGGAATGAGGACATTCTCCCCTCTTTGATTAAAAATATCACTGTGTTATGGTTCACCAGAATTAGATGTAATTCATGGATATTTGGTATAAAAAGTTGACCATCATTTTTTCAGAATGTATTGTGCCAGTAGTAACCCAATAAAAAATATTATTGCAAGTGATATATTTTGTAATGTAAGTAGTTACATAGTCATGTTAGTCCTTTGCTTGTTTTTATTTTCTGTATTTCTCTACTTATAGACTAATTCACATGGTGAAACAGTGAAAACGCTGTACTTCAGTTACCTTGCAGTCCTTCAGAAGGTAGCTAACCACGTCTCGCTACTGCAGGCTGCTAGCACCTCCAAACAGCAGGTTTGTGCTGTCTTTTAAAATGTCTTTGTGGTGATATCTGGTATAAGTATTTATACTTGATATGAAATTACCTAGCCAAATATCTTTAAGGTTTTTTGTATGAAATTCTGACTTGTTCATTTTTTTATTTACGTGTCAGAGAAGTATATGCACTTTAGTTTTTAATCAAAGTGAGAATATTTAAACTTAAGTTAAAATAACTTTTTTTATAATTTTGCATTCAATTTATACAGGATTAAATGTATTAAGTTAATATTTCCTCTTCCTTTAAAGGAAACACTCATCAAAAGGATATGTGATCAGGTGTTTTCCAGATTCCCAGATTTTGTGCACAAAAGCAAAGATGCAGCCTTTGAAACACTTTCTGATCCGAAATATAGTGGAAAAATGAAGGCAAGTGTTCTTCTTTCAGTTTGCATACATATAAGAATGATATACAAAATATTTATCAAGTGGTATGACAGGAACACCAGGTAGTCATAACAGAGGCTCAATTATTCAGAAGAGGTGGTAGCCAAAGACAAATGGTCTAGTTGTATCTGTACTCATTAGCTCACTGTGAATATGCATCTGGTGGATTCTCAATTAGAAGTAGTTATACCAGATATATTTCAAACTTTCCTACAGTATTGGATTCATATCCTCCTAAAAAGGTATGCTGTTGCCACATGTATAATAATTTGTCTTCTAGTTTTTGAGGAGATAATGTACCAGATACATAAATGCGAATGCCAAGAGGATGAGGATAGGTAGGAGCTCAGAATCAGAGAAAGAAACTTCCTGAAGAGTTCTCTGAGTTCTCTATTAGATCTCTAAGGGTTTTCAAGGCCTCTGTGTCTAGACTGAACTTTCTGTCTCTTGTTTTTACTTGCCAACCTAGATCACAAGATTGTTATATCTCATTTATGCAAGGGAGCATTTGCTTCATACTGGGACACCCACCGGTTGGTGCACTCTTGGTGATGAATTGAGGAATGGTTCTGAAAAGCAATGCTAGGTTCTCCAGCCATGACCCCTGCCCCTGGGCATTGCCTGTCAGAGCTGCATAAAATACTGACAGTTCTAGCCTCCTTGTAGCAGAATTCATTTGTTTAATCCCTTAATAACTATCAACAATCTTTATTTATAGAATCAAAGATTTTTACAGAGCAATTTCCAACTTAATATTTTAATTAACAAAAAGCAAGTTATTTCTTTTGGCAAAAAAAGGAAGTAATTCAAAGTAGGTTTTTTTTTCTTTGAAATTCTAGAAATATTTTTAGCAGTTAATCTACATAAGCTCAGCATAGTTTAGTTTGCCTAGACCTCTAAATCATACTGTAAAATGTAAGCTAGGGAGATTACCCTAAAACCTTGTGAGTGGTTGTTTTTTTTTACGGAGATACAATTGGCATGTAACATTGTATTAGTTTAGATATACAACATAATGATTTGATACATGCAAATATTTTGAAATAATTACCACAGTAAGTCTGATTAACATCCATCACCTCTCATAGTTACAATGTTTTTTTCTTGTGAGAAAAACTTTTAAGATCTACTCCCTTTTAAATATACAATATGGTCTTGCTAACTACAGCCACCATGCTGTACAATACATCTCCAGGATTTACTTATCCTATGGGAGCTTGTACTATTGGACTACCTTCACCTATTTCACCTGTCCTCTACCCCTTGCCTCTGGCAACCACTAATCTATACTCTGTACCTGATGAGTTTGATGTTTGTTTTCTTTTGTTTCAAAATTCCATATATCAGTGAGATCATGTAGTATTTGTCTTTGATTTATCTCACTTCACGTAATTCCCTCAATGTCTATTCATGTTGTAGCAAATAGCAGGATTTTCTTTCTTTTTTTTTAAGGGAAGGGAGGGAGAAGGAGAGAGAGAAAAACATCAATGTGAGAGAGAAACATCAACCTGTTACCTCTCACAGGTGCCTGACTGGGGACCAAACCCATAGCTCAGGCATGTGCCCTGACCAAGAATTGAAATGGCAACCTTTCACTTTGTGGGATAATGCCCAATCAAATGAGCCACACTGGTCGAGGCAGATTTCCTTCTTTTTTATGGCTGAATAATATTGCTATCCATTAATAGACACTTATGTTGTTTCCATGCCTTGGCTATTTTAAATAATGCTGCAATGAACATGGGGGTGCTGGTATCTTTTTGAGATCAGTTTCATGCTTTTGCATGTGGCTGTCTAGTTTTTCTAACACCATTTAATGAAGAGTCTGTCCTTTCCCCATTGTAAATTCTTTCTTTCTTTGTTTAAATTAATTGATTATATATGTGTGGTTTAATTGCTGGGCTTCCTGTTCCATTCTGTTGATCTTTGTGTCCATTTTTATGCCAGTACCATACTGTTTTGATTATTATTGCATTGTCATATAGTTTTAAATTGGACCATGTGATGCCTTCAGCTTTGATCCTTTTTCATAGATTGCTGTGGCTATTCAGGGTCTTTTGTGGTTCCATTCAGATTTTAGGAGTGTTTGCTCTATTTCTGTGAAGAATGTCATTGGAGTTTTGATAAGGATTCCATTGAATCTGTAGATAGCTTTAGGTAGTATAAATGTTTTAGCAGTATTAATTTAATCCATGATCACAGAATATCTTTCTATTTATTTGTGTCTTCCTTCAGTTTCTTTCATCAGTGTCTTAATGGTTTTTAGTTTACAGGTCTTTCATCTTGGTTTCATCTTGGTTACAGGTCTATAACCTTGGTTATAATTGTTTCTAGGTATTTTTTTTTATGTAATTGTAAATAGGATTGTTTTCTTAATTTTCTTTCTGATAGTTGTAATTAGTGTATAGAAATGCATTAGATTTTTCCATATTGATTTTGTATCCTGCAATTACAGGGTGGGTGAAGATAGGTTTACAGTTGTGAGTATGCAAAACACAGAGTTTATTCTTGTATTATTATTTATCAATTATTATATTATTTTCCATACAAACAACTGTAACCCAATTTTGTCCCACCCTGTATACTGAATTTGTATATTAGTTCAGATAGTTTTGGGGGGTTATTTGAGGGGTGGAGTCTTCAGGGTTTTTCTATATGTAGCATGTAATCTACAAATAGAGGCAGTTTTACTTCTTTTTGCTGATTTGGTTTTTGGTTGCCTTTGATTTAACTAATTAATTAATTTGTTTATTTGCCTAATTTCTCTAGCTAAGACTTCCAGTACTATGTTGAATAAAAGTGGCAAGAATAGGCATTCTTATCTTTTCTTGTTCCTGATCATAGAGGACAAGCTTTCAGTTTTCACCATTAAGCATGTTAGCTGTTATATGGGCTTTATTATGTTGAGGTATGTTTTCTTTATACCCACTTTGTTGAGAGTTATGTATTTTTTTAATAAATAGGTTTGTGCTAGTTAGAATATTCTATGATTTATTTTTACAACATATATTTTGAATCTAATTCTATTTCCTAACAATAGTAAATCTATTTTTGTCATCTATTTTATTGACTTTTATTTAATTATTTTAAGTTTAAAATATAAAAAGCCCCATTAGTGTAGAACTAAGCACTCATAACTTTTTTTTTAATCTTCATCCAAGAGGATATGTTTATTGACTTAGAGAGAGAGAAAAGTGGGTGAGAGAGAGAAGAGAGAAACCAATGCAAGAGAGAGACACCAGTGGGCTGCCTGCTGTGTGCACCCCAGCCGGGGACTGAACCCACAACCTAGGAATGTGCCCTGAGTGAGAATCAAAGCCACATCCTTCGTTGCATGGATGATGTTTCAACCAACTGAACCACCCACCCAGAGCTCATTATCTCATAATTTAAATCAATAGAATATTTCCAAATATCATGGTCTCCTTTGAAAACTACATTATCTGTTACTATTTATTTGAATTTTATTCATTTTGACTTCTCACAAAAAAGTTAGCATTCTTGAAATTAAATGAAATTTTATAACTGTACTTTATATTCTTATATATCCATTAAATATATAATTTAAAACATACTGTTAATTAGTTATATATTTAGTAAAATAGTGTCTGATTAAGATAATTATTGCATTTATATTTTATTATGATTTTTAGAAGGGTGAAAGCAAGCATAAATTGTTGCTTGAGGCCAAGTGTCTCTATATGTGAAGGAAGCATGTAATTTACTTGGTTTGTGGGAAAGCACCAATGAATCAGAGACTGATAATAATAAGCAAGGATTATATTTTTCAGGCTGTGTTTCATCATTTGATTAGCAACATCATGTGGTGATTTAGTGATTGAAAACCTACAGGCTTATTGTGGAATTATTGTCTGGGTGGTTAAGAACTCCAAGTTGCATGTATTTCTTTAATTTGGGTGGTAAAAGATCCTACTTCTATTTTTCTTATTATAGGTTAGCCTGCAGCTACAATTTATTTGTGCATATAATGTCTACTGTACCCTTCATAGCCTCAAAGCTACACTCATGAACTCCAGCTCTTTCTCTTAAGTTTCAAGATCTTTGTTGACCTCAGCTACTATTCAAAGGGACAGTGAGAAGTTGTGCTTATTTCCCTAATGAGGATACTCATTTTTTCTTTCCCTTGGGAAATGCCAGAAAGCCACTTACTGGGGGGGTGGGAAAAAAGACTAGGACACCCAGTTTAGTGCTGCTGGAATCATGTAAGGGTCATTTTTATCTCTGTGCCTTACTAATCTGAATCAAGTTAGATCTAGGAGTCCTCAGTTATGAGCAACCCAAATTTAAGATTCTTTTTTAGGGGAATTTTTTGGGTATGTGAAGGATAAGTGAGTGATAACACATTGGGTCTGTATTGTTAAGACCCTAGCCTATAGTGACTACACTATCATTTTTGAAATTTCTAATAAAGGATGTTAGTTTACAGTTATTTATTTTGTTAATGAGTCTGTGGTATTTTTTTAACAAGCTTAATAAATACCTTCAATCCAAAAGCATTCAGTTTTCTTTTTACTTGTAAGATATTCAAGAATACCTGAAAATGCAGTAGGTATATCATCTCGAACAATCAGAGTGGATTTCTGTATAGTATATACTTTTTTTTTAGAGAGTTTTTTTTATTGTTGTTCAAGTACACTTGTCTCCGTTTTCCCTCCACCATTAGTCCCACCCCACCCATCGCCACCTCTCACACTTGATCCAACCCCCTTTGGCTTTGTCCGTGGGTCCTTCATACATGTTCCTTGATGACCCTTCCCTCTTTCCACCCCATAATTCCCCTCTCCGACTCTGGTTACTGTTAGTTTCTTGTTTATTTTGATGTCTCTGGTTATATTTTGCTTGTTTGTTTCTTTTGTTGATTAGGTTTTTGAGGAAATTCCATACTCTTTTCCACAGTAGCTGTACCAGTCTGCATTCCTGCCAACAGTGTACTAGGGTTTCCTTTTCTCCACAACCTTGCCAACACTTGTTGTTTGTTGCTTTGTTTATGATGGCCTTTCTCAACGGTGTGAAGTAGTATCCCATAGTGGTTTTAATTTGCATCTTTCTGATGGCTAGTGATGCTGACGATTCTTTCATATGTCTCTGGGCCCTCTGTATGTCCTCCTTGGAGAAATGTATGTTCAGGTCCTTTGCCCATTTTTTAATTGGGTTGCTTGTCTTCTTAGAGTGGAGTCATGTGAGTTCTTTATGTATTTTGGAGATCAAACCCTTGTTTTAGGTATCTTTGGCAAATACATTTTCCTATATGGTTGGTTCTCTTTTCATTTTAATGCTGTTTTCTTAGCTGTGCAGAGCTCTTTATTTTGATGAAGTCCCATTTGTTCATTCTTTCTCTTATGTCCTTTGCTCTAGGGGACAGACATATCAGTGAAAATTTTGCTCCGTGAAATATGTGAGATTTTCCTGTCTATGTTCTCCTCTAGGACTGTTAGGGTATCGTGACTCATATTTAAGTCTTTTATCCATCTAGAGTTTATGTGTGTGGTGTAAGTTGGTGCTCGAATTTTATTTTTTTTTGCATGTAGCTGTCAGGATCTCCCAGTACCATTTGTTGAAGAGGCTACTTTCACTCCATTTTATACTTCTGCTTCCTTTGTTGAATATTAATTGACCATAGAGACTCGAGTTTATCTCCAAGCTCTCTTACTTTGTTCCATTGAGCTACATGTCTGTTCTTATGCCAATACCAGACTATTTTGATTATAGTGGCCTTGTAATATAGTTTGATGTCAGGTGTTGTGATCCCTCCTACTTTGTTCTTCTTTCTCAGAATTGCTTTGGCTATTTGGGGTCATTTATGGTTCCATATAAATTTTTGAAATGTTTGTTCTATATCTGTGAAATATGTCATTGGTATTTTAATAGGGATTGCATTGATTCTATAAATTACTCTAGGTAGTGTGGACATTTATATGATGTTAATTCTTCCCATCCCTGAACATGATATATGCTTTCATTTGTTTGTGCCTTCCTTAATTTCTTTCTTCAGTGTTGTGTAGTTTTCTGAGTATAGGTCTTTGACCTCCTTGGTTAGGTGTATTCTTTAGGCACTTTATTTTTCTTGTTGCTCTACAAATGGGTTTTTTTTTCCTGATTTTTAATTCTGGTATTTCATTGTTGGTGTACAAAAATGTGTTCAATTTTTGAATATTGGCTTTGTATCCTGCTATTTTGCCAAACTCACTTATTAGGTCAAGTAGTTTTGGTGGAGTCTGTAGGGTTTTCTGTGCACACTGTCATGTCATCTGTGAACAATGACAGTTTTGCTTCCTCCTTTCCAATTTAGATGCCTTTTATTTCTTCTCCTTGTCTGATCACTGTGGGTAGGACTTCCAGTACTGTGTTGAATAGGAGTAGTGAAAGCAGGTACCCTAGTCTTGTTCCTGATCTTGGCAGGAAAGCTTTTAGTTTTTCTCTGTTGAGTATGATGTTGGCTGTAGATTTCTCATATATGGACTTTATTATATTGAGGAATGCTCCCTCTATGCCTACTTTGCTGAGTGTTTTTATCATAAATTGATGCTGTACCTTATCAAATGCTTTTTCCATATCTCTTGATGTGATTCTGTGATTTTTATCTTTCCTTTTGTTTGTGTGATGTATTATATTTATTGGTTTGCAAATATTGTACCACTCTTGCATCCCTGACATGAATCCCACTTGATCATGGTTATGATTTTTTAAACAGAGTATCAACAAAGATACTGTGGCATTGAACAATGACCTACATCAAACAGACTTAACTGATATATATAGAACCTTTTATCCCAAAGAAGCAAAATTCACATTCTTTTCAAATGCACATGGAACATTTGCAAAGATAGACCAACTGATAGGACACAAAACAAGTCTCAACAAATTCAAGAAAATCGAAATTGTGTCAAGCATTTTCTTGGACTGCAAGGGCTTAAAACTAGAAGCCAACCTCAAGGGAAAAAACTCAAAGACACTCAAATTCCTGGAGATTGAATAGCATGTTATTGAACAATGAATTGGTTAATAGTGAAATCAAGGAAGAAATCAAAAATTGCTGGAAACAAATGAAATGAATACACAAGAGTCTAAAATTTATGGGACACAGTGAAGACAGTCTTGAGCAGGAAGTTCATAGTGACACAGGCCTATCTAAAAAGGATAGAAATATTTCAAGTAAACAACCAAATCCTACATCTGTAAGAATGGAAGGAAGACCAGCACACAAAGCCCAAAGCAACTAGAAGGAAGGAAATAACCAAGATCAAGGCAGAATGAAATATAGAGAGATTGAAAGAACATTTTAAAGGATCAATAAATCTAGGAACTGGTTCTTTGTATAGGTAAACAAAATCAACAAACGTTTAAGCAGATTCATCAAGAAAAAAATGAGAGAGCCAAAATAAATAAAATCAGAAATGAAAGAAGAGAGGTTACAACTGATTCCACAGAAATACAAAGGATTGTAAAAAATTATTAGAAACAACTATATGCTAATAAAATTGAAAACCTGGGTGAAATGGACAAATTTGTAGAAAAATATAATCTTCCAAAACTGAATAAAGAAGAAACAAAGCCTGAACAGACCAGTAACAGCTGACGAAATCAAAGCAGTCATCAGAAATCTCCCGGCACACAAGAGCCCTGGACTGGATGGTTTCACAGGAGAATTTTATAAAACATTTAAGGAAAAGCTAACCCCTGTCCTTCTCAGACTATTACAGAAAATCCAGGAAGAGGGAAGACTCCCAAAGTTTTTTTTTTCTTTCTGAAGCCAGCATCATCTTAATCCCAAAACCAGATAAAGATATGAGAAAGAAAGAAAACTACAGGCCAATATCTCTGATGAACATAGACACTAAAATTGTCAACAAAATATCGGCAAACCACATTCAGCAATACAGTAAAAAGAAATGCCTGTTTTTAAAACGATAGTGTTACTATTATACACAGGCTTTGGATTATTTGTTTCTTCCCTAAAAAGCATTATGTATAGAGGCAGGTTATTGGTATTTTGAGGTCAAAATCAAATGTGGAAGTCAGGCTTATGGTAAAATAGAGAAACCAAGAGGAGAAAATGAGAAGAGGTACATATCTGACTGATAATTTTAAGGAAATAAATATAAAGAGAAAATTTAAATGCTTCCTAAAGGAATGCTACTCTCTAATTCAGTTTCTGAATATTTTGTAGGTATAAACATGTGTATTTTGGAAATTAATCTAGTTATATGTGTCTCATAATCTGAAATTATTTTTATTAAAACAAGATAAAATGAAATAAAATTCTTTAGGGACTTTACCTCATTATTCACAATACGATGATTAATAACATTTCATGTAATATCTAATACTTTATTTCTCTAAGTTGCCAACAATGAAGGGAATTAGGAAAGCTGACTGAGGTTATATTCAATAAAAATACTTCTTAAGAAATTCTCAGGTGATGTTTATATGTACAAAGTGTACACTTAGTTGGAACTGGTTCACTGATACCTTATGCTTCATTTCCAGGTCCTTCAGCAGCTTTTAAGTCATTGCAGGAAAAATAGAGATAAAGTTCTTCTTTTTTCCTTCTCCACCAAGGTGAGTTCTTGATCAGCCCGGCCTTAATAAGGAGAAAGCCTCAAATACATAACGGCATCCAACCATAGGTTGTGTCTTTTACATTCTATAGGAATGGTAGTGAGGTAGCTAAGGAACTTTTAAATCTCAGGATTATTGTCAAATAGCAAACTCGAAGATAGGTTTTTAATTTTCTGTTGATTTTTTTTTGATAGTTAAAATGTTCCTTAAAATATTTAAGACATTTTAAAATACAGGAAATAGCATAAATAAATGAAATATATTTACATAAATCATTTAGCCAATACTTTTTGTATTACTTGGTTTGAGTTTTAAAAATTAAAGCTTGATATTTTTTCCAAAGAACAGTTGCTGAAGGTTAAGGTCAGTTTTAGGATAACAAAATATTTGAGTCGAAAATCAGAAAAATATCTGTTGCTCTTGTAATTACAAGAAAGAAATTTTGAGCAGCAATTATTAATACTTAGTAAATTTTATATCTGTAATGGTGTAGAGCTTATTAAACCATGAATTCGCCTTGCCCATCTCTGTGCCTTTCCTCTAGTTGCTGGACGTGCTGCAGCAGTACTGTATGGCGTCTGGGCTTGACTACCGGCGACTTGATGGAAGTACAAAATCAGAGGAAAGAATCAAGATCGTGAAAGAGTTCAACAGTACACAAGATGTTAACATTTGCCTTGTCTCCACAATGTAAGACAGTAAAATTTGATAGCTAGATTTTTATTTAATTGTTTTTAAGATTTAGGGTAATTTTTAAACTATTAATGAATTTTCAATGGTGGTGGTTATATTGCTTTGTTTTATTTGACTTAAGGGAAAACAGCAAAGGTGCTATTAATTATGATTGAAAAAAACAGTTTCTTGAGGTTTACTTAATCTTTTCTCTCAATTCCCTGGTCATCACTAAATTCCCCTTTATATGTCCAAGTTTACAAAGATAATAATCAAAAAAAAAGTTTTTTTAAGGAATTTTCTGTAGAGTGTTCTGACTCATGTCTGTGGTCACAAGACTGAATTAAATAATTGAGTTATTAATCACCCTGCCTGGTGTAGCTTAGTGGATTGAGCATGGGCTACAAACTAAAGGATCGCTAGTTCAATTCCCAGTCAGGGCACATGCCTGGGTTGCGGGATAGGTCCCCAGTGGGGAATGCCTGAGGGGCAACCACACATTGATGTTTCTCTCCCTTTCTTTCTCTTTCCTTTTTCTTCTCTCTAAAATAAATAAATTTTTAAAATCTTAAAAAAGAAAAACCTTCCATGGGAGAAACTTGCATGCCCATGGAACGAAATACATACATACATACATACATAATTGAGTTATTAATCAAATAATAGAGAATTATTGGTAGCATTGCTTTGCAAACTGTGATCAAGAAGCCCTAGAAAGCTCACAGGGCCTGGCGGCCAGGCATTTCCCTGCTTTGTCTCTACTTAATCTCAATCAGAGCAGCTCCACATTTATAGGTTTTATTAAAATTAAATCATCTCTGTCACCCGTTTATAAGTCTCTAATTAAAACCTTTTAAAGAATATACACTTTAGATGAAGAGTTATTAGTCAATATAAAAACCTAAGTAAAATTAATGTTTTGGGAGGTGACAAATCCATAACTATCAACATCTAATGTAGTATTTTATATATTTGCTCCCACTGTCTTTTAAAAAGAATTTCAAGCAATTTTAAAAATAAAATTATTTATTGTATGATGCAAAAAATAGAAATAAGTCAAAAATTGCTTAATAAGGAAGAAAATGATATGTATGATGAGTGAGCTATCAATACTTACTATTGAGCACTAAAATTATTCTTGAATCCTTGCAGTAAGGCCAAAGGAGAGAAACTCTGGATTCCTAATTTCCTGTGAATTAATTCAAGTTATAATTTGTCCCTTGAGTCATTAACATACAAAGCATTAAATGGCATAGAATACTATCTTCAGTTCATTTTTATAAAATAAACATAAGTATTCTTAAATTTATCAAATAAATGCCTTCAACAGTTCAAATAGTTAGAACTTATGATAAGCAATAATCTCTCAATTAACTCCACCCAGTCTAATTTGGTGAATTCTGCCAAGCTCATAATTATTTTTTTAATTGTATTAGAAATTGCTATTTAATCCATCCATTGGATTTTTTATTTTTATTTAATTTTATTTTTGAAAGAGTTAAAATTGTTTTCTATTTATTTATTTATTATTTTTGTTGGAAACTTATGCTTTATTTTTTATTTTTTTAACATTTTTAATTGTTGTTCAAGTACAGTTTTCTGCCTTTTTCCCCCACTTCTCCCCCTCATCCCAGCCCTCCCTACCTCCCTCCCCCATTTCCACCCCCATTGTTGTTATCCACATGTCCATTATAATTGCTCCTGTAAACCCTTATCCTTTTCCTCCATTACTCCTCCCCTCTCCTCTCTAGTCACTATTCTCAATTTCAATGTCTTTGGTTATATTTTGCTTGCTTGTTTGTTTTGTTGATTAGGTTCCAGTTAAAGTTATTTTTCAAAAGATATAATTCATTTTCTATTACACACAACTTTACATCAATATACTTCAGATTTGTCAGGGAATATTTAGGTGCTCCTAATTGTTCCAATCCCATAAATCATAGTTTGAAAGACTGTTGAGAAAAATAACTTAGTATTTCTCTTAACCTTATTCCAGAAAACTATATCTTTTTTTTTAATCTTTATTTTTTATTTAATTATTTTTCAAGTATGGTTTTCTGTCTATTTCTCCCATCCCAGCCCACCCCGCCCCATGCTCCCCACCTCCCTCCCATTTCCACCCCCCTTAGTTATTGTCCCTGTGTCCTTTATACTTGTTCCTCCCCTTTTTCCCTTAAAATCCCTCCCCTTTTTTCCCCTTAAATTCCCTCCCCTCTCCCCTCTGTATCTTAAAGGTCTCAGATATATGAGTGATGCAGACCCTGGCTGGCAGGGTCTGTGTTCTGTGGCTGCAGCCAACAAATTCACGTGAACTGCAGAAGTCATGTGGAGAGAAAGGGACGGCATGGCCACTCTGAGTGAGAGAGGGCCACATCCCTCACCTGGACAGGCATTTATTGTTTTTCTGGGCACATTACATGGAGTATGGTCCTCATTTACTATGCACAGGTTCACTTTAGGTGGTTACCTTTTACAGAAAACAAAGGATGTTGCTAATTATATCACAGAAGAAGGATATTTTCAAATGGAAAGAGAAAAGTGGTTGAACTGGTTACACTCGTCCTTGGAAGGTTTAGCATAGATTTTAGGAAGTTACTTTAAAGATATGCAGTAAACATTTCCTGCCTCAATTCAGGGTGAGGGAGTTTTAGCAAAAGCAAGCTTCATAACAACCTAGGTACAATGCAGGCCTGATTCGCCGGGGGAGAACCTATCTGTGGGCATGGGTCCTATGTGTGAGACCTTGCTTCCCACAGGCTCTTCCTAGTGGGAGCTGGGCTACATTCCCAAGTCATGCGGAATGGTTCTCTATTTATGAGTGCATTTTTTTTATGTCCCAAAAGAGATTCTAAACCACTCTTCAAATAAGTCATTAGAATCATATATATGTCTATCGTCAACACCTGCTTCTGATTCTTTAGTTTGTTATGTTATTTGACCAGTCTCACACCCATTTGTTCACTTTAGTTGTCTTCACTGACACTTAATTGATATAGGATAAGAAAAATAACATACTTTTTTTCTTTTTCTTTTTGCCTCTGAAAAGCGCGAAGAGCAATAAATGCCTATTGGAGTTATGTGTAAAGTTTCACGAACATTTAAAGAATAGGCATATAAAAAAAACCATAAAAGGATAGTTATGTTTAAACCTGAACCCTTATAGATAAAGTTTCATTAGAAGGAAAAGCAGGTTTATGTAAAGGGGCATTTTAGACAGAGATAACAGCTTAAGGTACAAAAATGACCAGGGAATTTAAGTGGTTAGAGCTTAGGATACTAAAGCTCTTATGGGTATATGACTAAATATGAGGAATCATTAGTTAATTTAACAAAAACCATATTGAGCATTCTGTGACAGGTCCTGGAGAAGAAAAGATGTAAAAGGTTCAGATCCCGCTCTTTTAAAGTTTGTAACTAAAAAAAATATATATGAGGATGGAGGGAAGAGTTAAGATATGTTAAAAGGGTGGTTTCAAAATAGTATGGTAAGTGCTGGTAGAAGGAAGCACAAAGGAGAAATAACTAGTTCATCCTTCATTAGCAATGCTGAAGGACAAGCAGAAGTCAGCCAGGCAAAGAAGAGAGCCAAGAAAATTGTCAGTGATGTATGAAGGCAACTTTAAGTATATTGATAGTTATATGAGATAAAGTTTGAGTATGTAAGAGTTGAGTTGGTCTCTGATGGACAAGGATAAAGGGATTTAAAACAGAAGACTGCCATACTTGTTTCTTGTATTCTGTGCTTAAAATAATTTTATGTAGGATGAGAATGAATTTAAGGTCTGAGGTAAGGGAAGTCAGTTAAGAAATCAATGAAATAATATTATGACTTACAGGTTCAATATAGTAAGGCCTTGAAATAGGGCAGGAAAAATAGGAATGGAGAAGGTACTAGAGAAAAAAAATTGAGCTAAATTTGATAGGATTTGCTATTGGATAGTTTTTAGTTTTTGCAGGGGGTTTTCCCCTTTAAGTCTGTCAGTGACAAATTCTCTTAGTTTTTCTTAATTTAAGGATGTCATGATTTTCCCTTCATTCTTGAAGGATATTTTTGCTAGATATAGAATTCTAGATTGACAGTTCTTTCAGCACTAGAAAAATGTTGTACTCCTTCCTTCTGGCCTCCATGATTTCTGATGAGAAAGCTGCTGCCATTTGAATTTGTTTTCTGTAAAAGTAATGTTTTGTTATTCTCTTACTGCTTTCAAGAGTTTTTTCTTTGTGTTTTGTTTTCAGAGGTTTAATTATGATGCATCTTGGCATGGGTTTCTTTGGATTTATCTGTTTTGGAGTTCATACAACTTCTTGAATGTGTAGGTTTTTAGCTTTTCTCAAATTTGGGAAGTTTTTAGCCATATGTGTTCAAATACTTTTTCAGCCTCTCTTTTTTCTCCTTCTAGTAACAGAAAGATTAGCTCTTCTGTTACTGTTCCTCAGGTCTCTAAGACTATGTTAATTTTTTTCAGTATATTTTCTTCCTGTTCTTTAGATTGGGTAAATAATATTGACCTCTTCTCATGTTTATACATTCTGTTCTCTGTCATTTCCATTGTACTATCAAGTTCATTTCAGCAAGTTTTGTAATTCAGTTATTTTTCAGTTCTAAAATTTAATTTGTTTTTTATTTTTATTTTATTATTTTTTTAATTTTATTTTTTATTGATTATGCCATTATCCTCTCTTTCTATTTCCCTATATCCCGAAACTTTCTATTTTTAGTTTGTTTCAAGCATATCTGTAATTTCTTATCAAAGCATTTTTATCACAACTGCATTAAAATTCTTATCAGATAATTCCAACATCTAATTAATTGTTGTCATCTGTTGATTGCCTTTTCTCATTCAAGTTGAGATTTTTCTGGTTCTTGGTCTGACTAGTATTTTTTTTTCAACATAACTGAAAAAAGAAAGAAAAGCTTTAAGCATTTGGTTAATGTTGTTCAAGTACACTTGTCTCCATTTCCCCTCCATCACTCTCACCCATCCCAGCCATCCCCAACTCCCACCCTCAATCCTACCACCCTACCGTTGGTTTTGTCCAGGTGTTCTTTATGCATGTTCCTGACAACCCTTCCTCTTTCTCCCCCACTGTCCCCTCCTACCTCCCCTCTAATTACTGTCAGTTTGTTCTTAATTTCAATGTCTCTGGTTATATTTTGCTTACTTTTTTCTTTTGTTGGTTAGGTTCCACTTATAGGTGAGATCATATGGTATTTGTCTTTCACTGCCTGGCTTATTTCACTTAGCATAATGGTCTCCAGATCCATCCATGCTGTCATGAAGGGTAGGAGCTCTTTCCTTCTTTCTTTCTGCTGCATAGTATTCCATCATATAAATGTACTAGTTTTTTGATCCACTTATTTACTGATGGGCACTTAGGTTACTTCCAGTACTTGCCTATTGAAAATTGTGCTGCTCTAAACATTGGGGTGCATAGGTTCTTTTGAATTGGTGTTTCAGGATTCTTAGGGTATAGCCCCAGCATTGAAATTGCCAGGTAGTAATTTTTTATTGTGTGCTGTACATTTTTTAGTATTATGTTATAAGACTTTATATCTTATTTAAATCTGTTTTAACCAGACACCCTGCCAGACACATAGGGATGGAAATTCATATATTCTACTTGGCCTCTGTTGAATCCTGAGAGTGAGGTACTTCATTACTATTTCTGGATGGCCTCCACTGGCACTGCAGATGAGGACCTGGTTATCACTGGGAAGAAATGAAAGTCTTAGCTCCTCAATCAGTCTTTTCTGACACCACACGAGCAGGGGTTAAAAGCGTCTCATTACATTCAATCAAGATTGGAAGTTTAGTCTTTTCACTTAATCTTTACTGACTAGATTGAGGGTAAGGCCACAGATCTTTTTCTGTGGTCTTTGCAGGAATAGGCTGATTTTGTCTAACATTTTTCTGTCTTAAAAAAGCTACATCTTTCCTTTATTTGGCCCAAGGAAGGATTTACTTGGGGCTTTTTTGTCCGTGACTATTGGCATTTCCAGTTCACTAGCTTCTGCAAAACCCAGTCTGGGATATATTGGACAAGAAAAAAAGGCCAGGAAACTCACTGCCATGTCATTGTTCATGTCTTGTAATTCCTACCCAGTCTGTGTTCTTGCTACCTTTTAGTGTGTTGTGTTTATTTGATATATAATACCCAGGATTTTCATTTAGCAGCACTTAGTGGCAGAATAAGGAGAAGTGTATCTACTCCTGGCTTGATTTTTTTTAAATGTGCACATTACTTTACTTAGCCACAGTATACCATATTTTGCCATGTAAAATGCATTCTCATGTATAAGGTGCACCACATTTTGGTGCATGGTTATACATAGGATTATTATGCCCATTATACCCATAATACGTAATCATTATACCCATGTATATATTGTGCATTCTTATTTTTCCTCAAAAATTTAGGCAAAAAGTGTATATTATACATGGCAAAATATTGTATTAACAGTTTTTAAAAATTATATTATGAAAATTTTACAGGAATAGTATTTGAGTATAATCAGCACAGTCTGCTTATATAAACTCTAATAGTCAAATTTTTTAGGGATGGTATGGATTTCATTTGTGACATATTTGTGTTTTAATCACCTTACTTTTACTATGTGAGTGCAATATCATGTTGATTTGGTTATAGAAATATGGCACAATTGAGTTATAGGATAAAAAATTTTGTTTTTACTGTTTTAATGTGCTCTGTTTTCTCTAGGGCCGGTGGACTAGGCCTCAATTTTATTGGTGCCAATGTTGTTGTATTATTTGATCCTACTTGGAATCCAGCCAATGATCTTCAAGCCATCGACAGGTATAATACTGAAAAAATGTAAAGTGACCTGCAAATAATTTTAATCTAAACATTTTTCTGAATTGGTTAGGTTATCATATGACTGTGATTAGAAGATACGGAAAACCTTGTTAAAAAAAGCTATTTAAGATAACCATAGAGTTCTGAATCCAAGAGGATTCTTTATTTCTGAGTCCAAGAGGAGAGGACTCTTTATTCATTTACCTAAATATAATAATAGCTACTTATTTTTTGTTCATATCAAAATCCCATCGATATGTCAGAGTTGATTTAAGGAGAAAAAATAAGTCCACAGTACTTTAGGAAAATAGGAAAGGTTGCTACTAGTAGATCAGAAGTATCGAGAAACTCTTGCAGTACAGAATGAAAAAAGAATCTGTGTGATCAAGAAACCAGCAGAGTAAAACCACAATCACAGTTGATTGAAGAGCACAGAGGAAGAAATTAATGTTTTAGAACATAAATAATGACTTAAACTGGAAAGAAAACATACATACATGCATCTTGGTGATATTTCTAAGTTCCATAGATAAAGAGAAGGGTTAAAAGATGCCAGAGTGAGAATGAGGGAGAGAAAATTATTTATAAAAACAGACAAAAAAAACAGTTTATCACAAAGAAATTTGTGTTAATGTATATATGATACATAAAGCAATTATATTTGACATCAGTAACATACAAGCAGGGCCAGAACTTTTTTAAAAAAGGTTTTTTAATGCAACTGAAGTTAAGTTGGTATCAACTTGAAATAAATTGTTATAACTTTTGGATGTTATATGTAATCTGCAGGGTAACCACAAATATGTATATAATGTACACAAAAGGAAATTAGAAAAAAGTTAATATGACACTTAAAAATCAGGTAAACACAAAGGAAGGCATTAATGGATGAAATGAAGGAGAAAATAGCTATGAGTTATAAAGAGAATAAATAAAATGGCAAAAGTAATTTCTTCCATATCATTAATTTCTTTAAATGCAAATGGGTTAAATTCCCCAATCAAGAAACGTAGATTGGTAAAGTGGATTAGAATTAGTATCCAACTGCATGCTGTCTGTGAGACTTTGGTAGGTCTAAGGACATGCATACATTGAAAGTGAAAGGATGAAAAAGAGATTTCATGCAAAGAGTAACCAAAACACAGGAGAAGTGGTTACACTAATATCAGACAAAATAGACTTTAAATTGAAAGAGGCAAATAAAGATGTTATACAGTGAGAAAAGATTCAGTTCACCAAGAAGCTGTAACAATCAAACAAAAATGCTCCAAATATGTAAAACATTGACACTATTAAAAGTAAAAATAACTAGCTCCACAATAATGGTAGGAGAGTTCAATACTCCACTTTCAATAATGGATAGAACTTCCTATCAGAAGATCAATAAGGAGAGGATTTTAATAACACAAACAAATTGGACCTCATAGACCTATATCGAAATGGTCTCAAAGCAATAGCATAATATACATTTTTCTCAAGTATCAATGTAACATTTTCCACAATAGACCCTATGGATCACTAAATAAGTCTTAATAAATTTAAAATAATTGCAATTATAAATTTTTTCCCAGTTACAATAAAATGAAAATGAAATCTGTGGTGGAAGAAACACTAGAAAATTCACAGGTATATTGAAATTAAACAACACACTCTTAAGCAACCAGTGGGTCAAAAAGAAATTGCAGGAGGAGGAAGATGGCAACGAGGTAGGAGGGAGCAGATTCCACTTCCCCCTACACAGGAGAAAAACCTAGCCAATCTATGGAGGAACAGAGCAAACAGCCAACAGTACCACAGCTTAAATGAAGATAGGAGACCAAAAATTATAGCGGACACTGAAAAACCAAAGGGTAAGGAGAGTGCTTCAGGACAATAAAGTCCCATGGACCAGCTCGGGGACCAGGGCAGCTGTAGCCCCAGGCTCAGTGCCCACAGCAGGGTCTGCCAGAGTCCTTGGGAGAGAGCCAGGTCAACTGCTCCCTCTGCCCCTGGCCAAACAAGGTTTGAGCAGCACTGGGAGAGACCAGGTCGCTTGAAGTCGCAGAGGTGAATAAGGACAAAGAGGCAAACACAGGGGCTGCGATCAACCACAGAGTCTGTGGTCACTGGCTTGGGAAAGTTGAGAGTCGCACAGTAAGGGGCGCTGACCCCTATAGTCACTGGTATGGCTGGAGAATTGGGCTGTGTGGAGCAGCAGACCTGAGTAGGAGGAATTTCTCAAAAAGAAAAACTGTTTGGGGAATTCTGCAACAGTCACTCAGCCTACTCCCCAACCAGCCGTGCAGCGATCCCAAGGTTGTGCAGAAGGTTGCATTGAAGACCCTGTGCACCCCCATAGCAATGGGAAAGGTTTGCGCCCAAACCCACAGAGCCCAGGCAGCCTGGCCAAGCTGGCGATCATTTGCCCGCATCCCAGCCCACAGTGGTAACACCAGGGAAAGAGTGCTCTGAGAAAGACCTGGATCCCACAACCAAGGCACTGGGGAGAGGTGCCAGACTAGCTCTAGGGAGACTGTGAGCAAGACTGGCTGAGTGCACATGGAGAAGGGAGAGAAGCCATACCAATCGCCCCTCACCCTGCTACAGCCACCAAGACCAGAAAAACCGGTTTGGCCAGTTTGAAAACAAAATAGTTTTCAAACAGTTTTTTTGTTCGTTTTTTAAGTAGTCTTTTATTTTTAATTTTTATTATTGTTTTACCTTTCAGTACTGTTTTCCTCTCTTTCCCTCTTTCTTGTTTTATTCTTCCTTTCTTTCCAATTTTATGTCTTCTTCCTCCCTTCTCCTGCTTTTTCTTCTTTTTTTCTTTTTAAACACCCACAAGTGAGATGAAAAAAAACCTGGAACTGTGAAAACACTAGAGTTGGACCCAAAGAGAGGGCATCCCAACAGTTGAGACAGTGAGACAAATCTCACTTTGCTATTACAGAGAACCTGCAAGTTATTGCGTATTTGTATTATCATTATTTTTTCATTATTCTTACATGTTTTATTTTACTAGTATTTTTGTATTCCTCTTTTTTCTGTATAGTCTTCTTTACTTGGCTGGTTATATTGTATCATTTGACAGGTTTCCTCTGTTCTCTCTTTCACAGTGATTGCTAATTTACTGTCTTTCACATCATTTGTGTTCCTTTAACACACTGCTCAAGGTCCTATACCCCCTATTCTTGTTCTCCAAATCACCTAGATTCTGTCATATGATGGTTGCTCTAATATTGTAAATATTAGTGTAAGTAATAGCTGTTCCATACCATTGTAAATACTTCACAACACCCCTCCCAGATCTTAACCCACTTCGTGGTTTCCTGAACTCTATTACCGTAGTAGTTGCTTCTATTCTCTCAGACACTACACCTATTTACTATCCTTTACTCTCACCTTACCTCAGAATCTGACCTCCCACAACTTCACCGCTTTCTAGATCTAACTCACAATTCTTCCCTCCCCAGCAAGAGTCTTATCTTCTTTCCATCCTTTCTTAAAAATTGCTAGTTGGGTGGAAGATCACGGTTAACACTAAACATAGCCAAAGGATCTCCTATCTCTTCTCTACTGGCTGCTACTGTAAATATAGAATACTGTCTTACTGTCTTAAATCGTTTTGCCTTCTACTCTAACTAATCACAAAAAGAGTAAGTGGAAGTGATGAGCACCAGGATACCCACTGGAAGAGGAAACCCAACAACAAAGGACTCATTAACAGATAACAATAGAAGAAGGTGAAGGAGGGAGTAGAAACCACACAAACCTCAATTCAGGTCCTATCTGGAAATACAACTAAATAGTGGAGGACTTACCCAGTACAAACAACAGAACAAGAGCAAATGAGAATCCTCAAAACCTTGTATACACAGAAAAACGAGCTTCAACACAACCTACCCTCATCAGCACATCAAAATACAAGAAGTGGTGGACAGAGTGACCCTTAGTTAACAAACTGGTGGGAAGCACCCACCAAAGAAAGACCTAACAACTGTCAAAGCCCAAAGACAAATACAGAGCCAACTTAAACAACAGCACAAGACCAGTGAGCTTGAGAGATCAAGGAGACTACACCACTGAATCTCACAGGTATTCTACCACAGAACTTCACACCATAAACTCGGGGAGCCAGAACAGATCAATGTAAGAAGCTGAAGCTAACAAGAAGAGTCTCACAAACAATGGGAAAACAAAGAAACAATCCCCAAATGAAAGGAAAGGAGGAAACCTCAGAGAGAATGCTAAATGAAATAGAGGCAACTCAACTATCAGATATTGAGATCAAAGCATTGGTTATCAGGAAACTCAATGAGCTCACAGCAAATTACCAGAAACTACAGGGAAATTACAATAAACTCACTGCAAAATATATTAATGTGTAAAAGGAAATAGAAACTATCAACAAGGGCCAAGAGGAAATAAAGAATACAATTTCTGAACTGAAGAACACAGTAGAGGAATCAAAAGCAAGATCGATGAAATAGAAGATCGGATCAGCGGGCTAGAGGCCAAAAGAAAAAATTGCCCAGAAAGAGCAAGAAAAGGAAAAGAGGCTCAGAAAGAATGAAGAAGGATTAAGAGAAGTACAACACAATATGAAACATAATAATATCTGAACAATCGGGATACCAGACGGAGAAGAAGAGGAGAAAGGGATGGAAAATTTATCTGAAAAAGTAATAAGGGAAAACTTCCCTAATTTGATGAGAGAAAAAGTTACACAACTCCAGGAAACACAGAGAGTCCCAATCAAAAGGAACCCAAAGAGGCCAACTTCAAGACACATCATAATTAAAGTGGCAAAATTCCAAGACAAACAGAGAATCTTAAAGGCAGCAAGGGAAAAACAGGAAGGGACATACAAGGGAGCCCCAATAAGGTTAGCAGCTGACTTCTCAGTGGAAACACTCCAAGCTAGAAGAAAATGGCAAGAAATATTCTGAATAATGAGAACCAGAGGCCTGCAACCAAGACTATTTTACCCAGCAAGGCTCTCAATCAAGATAGAAGGCCAA